AGTTTTTTGTTTTTAAATCCAAGCTATTGTGACAGCAGATGTAATTGGTGGTACTGACTGGGGAAATGGGCACAGTATGCACTGTGAGCCTGACACAGAAGCTGGCAGCAGTGGCAGACAACTAAATGCATTTACATTACATAGAAAAAAAAAATCAAAAAAAGCATACCCTTATCCCTAACCTAGCTATGCTTTTCCCTATCTTATGAACAGCAGCTACACTTTCCCTCCTCTTACTAAGCATGCAGCTTGAGAATGAATCTAAAATGGATGCTGTCCAGTAGGTGGGAGGGTCTGCTAGGGAGGCTGTGCTGCTAATTGGCTGGAATGTGTCTGCTGACTGTGAGGTACAGGGTCAAAGTTTACTCAATGATGACGAATAGGGGGCGGGTCGAACCGCGCATATGTTCGCCCGCCGTGGCGAACGCGAACATGCTATGTTCGCCAGGAACCGTTCGCCGGCGAACCGTTCGGTACATCACTATTTATGACCAATTTGTGCAGAAATCCATATAATTCCAAAGGGTTCACATACTTTTTCTTGCAACTGTAAGCTTCATTTTTAAATATAAATATAACCAATATATTAATCTCATCTCTCTCAAAATATAAAGTGTTAATTTTTAAAGGTATACAATAGATTATCATTATGCTAATGAAGCCATTTTGGCTACAATTTCAAATTGACAATCCTTCATTCCCCTATTTAAACCCTCATTTGTCAGATCACTCCTTTTTATTTCCACTTGAAGAAGCCCAATAGGCAAAATGCATTGTGGTTACTATTTATGCTGTTTTAACCTTTGTTTTATAATTGTATTAATAAAGGTACTTTGGCTTATTTTATGCTTTACTAGAGTGTGCCATTTTACTATTTTTTCTAAATTTTTATTATCACTACTATTTTATTTGGATTTTATTTTAATTTACCTCATACTGCCTGGCACCTGATTTTTATCTCCAGTGAGTACAACTCCAAAGACATCCTTGGTGGGGATTATACCACCCATGCCTGATCAATAGAGCAGTCCGTCTGCTCTGGCTAATGTGAGTATGTTTCCATTTATCCTTACTCCTGGCATTTTATTCAGTGAGCACTATTGTTGATTCTTTTTATTCTTATAGTCCACATACTACAAAGACTTAATTCTCATGTATCCTTGCAAGTGGGGATTGTACAACTGTATGCAATTCATACTGGAGCTACTTACAGCTCCATAAAACGTGAGTAGGACTATATGGTTTTCTTTTTAATTTCCACTGTAAGAACATACTACCCTATTATTCCTTTCTGTTGTTTCATACGGGCTCCATTGCTGAACCCACCCTGCTTCGCCCATTGAGGAATTACCCAGACACTTGGTAAAAATATACTTCTGATAAGTGCATATCTACATTATCTCTTGGACTTGTTTTACCATTTTGAACGTTTAACAACGTATTTGTTTATCTATTATATAATACATACTATATATATCACTGTTCATATCACAATTGTGGTGCTACCCCTAGATTTTTTTTTCTTTCTGTGTTTTATTTCCATTAGTAGAAAATGAGGGATCCCTACTCTTGGGGTTAGCTGCCAGCCTCTTTTCACTCCCTCTAGTTAAATATCTAAAGTGCTGATCCATCCCTCACATTGACTCCAAAATGTATTCTTCTATAATTGCAGAAAGAATGAAAGCTGTTATCCCTTTTATCATCCATCATGATCAGACAGGATTTATTAAAGGAAGACAAGCGAGTGGGAATAACCGTAAAGTTATAGATCTCATCTCTATATAACAACTGACAAAATTCTGTCAATTATAATGGCCCTTGATGCAGTAAAAGCCTTTGACCGGGTTGACTGGCGATTCCTTGAAGAGGTGCTCAAAGCTTTCAACTTTGGGAGTGGGTTATTCAACAGGGCTTTATATACGATTACTCGCGGACCGCTACAACTGGTGGCAAGCGGTGGTATCGCACTTCCCTGCCGTACAAAACCAGCGTTTGTGAGCCGAATAGACCCATGGACTACACAAATTTAAAGAGGCCACATTACAAGATTTACTGGTAGCCAAAGGGCAATCAGATGGAAATTCGTACCAAGGCTGAGTTGATTGCCTCCTTCATGGAGGACGATCATCGAAGCGGTGGGGCAGCTGTACCACAGCAGGAGGGCAAATAACCTTTTGCAAAGAACTGGCCTGGCACCTGACATTCTACAAAGAAACCCCCTCAGAGGAAAGCATGACCAAGATCTTCTCTGAGGTGCAAGCCTATGTCCTAGCTCAGAACAATGGGGAAAACCTCACACAACCTGACGAACGGCGGGCGGGAGAGAGGTCCCCGGGGAGTCTGGCAACCCCTACCCAAAAACACAAAATGCTTTACGATACATTCAAGAAGTTCAAGGAAGTGGAGGAGGGCATTGATGACTTCCAGTCGGACTTTGAACGCAAGTGCCTCCTACATGATGTCGCCCCCCCAGACTGGGTCACCATCTTGGCCGGGAAGATAGTGGGGGAGTACCTGAACTGGCTGTACCTGAGGACAAGGTCCGGGAGTACGCCTTTGTAAAACAGGTCCTGCTAGCCAGTTATGCCATAACCCCAGAGGCATTCCGCAGAAAGGTCAGGGAGACGAAGAAGGGGAAGAAGGACTCACATGTGGAGTGGGCCTGTCACATGACCCAAGATACCCAGAACTGGATGAACTCCCAGCAGGCAAAATCTCCCGAAGAGAACCTCCAGCTGTTGATGCTGGAGCACTTTTATAATGGGCTCCCTACCGAGATGCAGGAATGGGTGAGAGACAGGCAGCCCAAAACTCTAAATGAAGCAGCCCAGCAGGCAGATGAGTATGCAGATACCCGGCGGCTTGGACACCCCACTACCTCCCACAGCTACTGACCACCCATACGACATTTCCCACAACCTAACCCCGCTGCAACTGTCCTGCTCAGACACCCCCTCAGCAGGCACTGGCCGGGGCAAACTGGCGATGCTTTCAGTATCACCAGCCCAGTCACGTCAAGCAGAATTGCCCCCAGTCTAGAAGCCGACCCCAGTGGGTGAGCCCAGTGGACCCTCCTGCCCCGCGAGTAGCCGACCGTCTGTTACCAGGCTGCCCACACGGAACCCCAGCACCACCACGAGAAGTGAGCCCCATCCAGGGCGCCACCAACAACCAGGGCCACCACAGGCAGCCGATTTGGCTGAACGGGCACACTGTCCAAGTGCTGGACTCCAGAGCCACCCTAACTCTAGTTTGACCTCAGCTTGTTACAGAGGAGGAGAAGACCTGGGGTACAGTCGCTGTCCTGGTAGCAGGGGAGTCCATCCACCATCTATCCACTGCCCATGTTCACTTTGTCTGGGGTGCTGGAGCCCAGAGAGTGGAAGTCGGGCTCATGGACCAGCTACCAGCAGAAGTGCTACTCGACAATGACCTGGGCCACCCTACCTCCACCTATGTGGCCTTCCAGGCTCCAGAAGAAATGTACCCGGTGATGACCCGACAAGAAGCCCGCACCACCTGGCGCGTCTCACACTGGCGCGTCTCACACTCAGGCAGGCACACATAACCCTGCAGTCGCCCCTGTAAGCAGGGCCCCCAGGCCAGTCCCCATACCCCAGTTACATGTAGTCGCCCCTGTAGACAGGTCCATCGTGCTAGCCCCATTGCCCCGGTGCCCTGTGTTTCCCCCCTTGCCTGGTCCCCTTGCCTTGGGATACCCCTACCAAGTTCAGGAGGGAGCTTGTATCCAACCCTACCCTCTGCGACTGGTCAGGTGGGGAAGGACAGGGAATGATTTATCTGGGATAGCGGAAAAAGGGAAGTTAAGGACAGCTCCTACTACCACCAAACAGTTGGTGTCACCCAGGAAATATCGGCATGAACTATTGAAGATAGCTCACGATATCCCCCTGTCAGGGCGTTTGGGAAAGGGTCGTACTCAGCATCGGCTCACCCAAAGCTTCTTCTGGCCAGGCATCTCAAAGGAGGCAGCATTGCCAGACCTGTGATGTCTGCTAGAGAGTGGGGAAGCGAGGCAATTGGTGCAAGGCCCTGCTCCACCACCTACTCATCATAGTAGACCATTTCAGCAGAGTAGCTGTCGATATCAAAGGTCCCCTGGCTAAGCCTAGCCCCTCTGGGAAGAAGTATAGTCTGACCATTGTGGACCACGCGACTCGGTACCCCGAGGCAGTCGCCCTGAACAACATTCAGGCAGAGAATGTGGCCAAAGCCCTGATGTGAGTGTTCTCCAGGATGAGTTTTCCCCAGGAGATCCTCTCGGATTGAGGCTCCCAGTTTACTGCCGAGATGACTAATCAACGGTGGAGCTTATGCGGCATTAAAGTAATCCTAAATTCCCCCTATCACCCCCAGACCAATGGCCTGTGTGAGCGCTTCATTGGCACATTGAAGCAGGTACTCCATACTTTTGCTGCGGCTCACAAGTATTAGTAGAGATTCCTGCTGTATCACCTGTTTGCATATTGGGAGGTGCCTCAGGAATCCACAGGATTCTCTCCATTTGAATTTATGTTCGGACGGAAGGTTAGAGGACCCCTAGACCTTGCCTGGGAGCACTGGGAGGGAGAGCAGAAGCAGGAAGGGTGTCCCATCATCCTATTTCTGCTGGATTTTCTGGACCGGCTGGAGGAACTCACTCACCTGGTGAGAGGGAACCTCCAGGTGGCATAGAGGCACCAGTGCACATGGTGTGAACGGGAAGCCAGGAGCCGTTGCCTTCAAGTTGGTCAGAAGGTTTTGGTTTTGAAACCCGCCTGACACAACAGGCTACAGGCTGCCTGGCAGGGCCCATACCGGGTACTGGAACAGAAGTGTGACTACCTATGTGATTGGTCCTTGCTCAGGTACCAGGGGTTAGATGCCTGTTACCATGCTGAAGCCTTACCACGAGCAGACAGAGGATGTAGACACCATCTGTGCACCTGCCTTGTGCATACCTGGACGACATCGCCATATACAGCGACACTTGGGAGGAGCATCTGGTACATGTAGGAGCTGTACTAGACAGGATTAGGGAGGCGGGGTTAACTCTAAAATCCAGTAAGTGCCACCTAGGGCACAGTACCTAGGGCACTGGGTAGGGTGTGGGGCCCAAAAGCCTGAGCCAGCCAAGGTTGAGCCAGTTGGCCACGTCTCCGCACTAAGACCCAGGTGATGGCCTTCCTAGGGACTGCTGGCTATTATAGGACATTTGTCCCCAACTACAGAGTCCTAGCTAAGCCCCTTACCGACCCATAAGACCTTGCACAGACAAGTATGTGGCGAAATCGCTGCCGGTTCGTGAAACTCCCTTCTCTTTTACATGTGCTTCCCCTGTATGTTCATTTATTGTGCCCGCTCCCCATTTACAAAGGTAATTCATTCACCTCCCAAACGGGGGCCACCCAATTTTGAATGTTAGGTTAGAATTTTCACACCTCGCAACAGAAGTGTCAAAACTACAAACCGCAAGAGAAGCAATTATGTAGTGCTTCCCTGGGTGGCCGCCATTCGTACAGGCGAACGCCACCATGGGGCGCATACGTGGATTGTTTCCCGACTCATTCGTCTCCCGAATGAGGTCCTCCCTGGTGCCCCATTAGAATGCTCACACCAATTAATCAGAATGTTCGCACTCTGGCTTTTTAGGGGAATTTCAGGCAGTCGACCAGAGCTTCAAGAAATAGAGTCTGCTCTCCCTCATTAGCTAGCTCACCCCCCCCCCAGTTTTCTTAATTTGTTTAATGCAATATGTAGACTTCATGATTTTGTTTTCTGGACTGAACTGTAATTTGGGTGACTGGTGGAACCAACAAACTCAAGCTTAAACGGGCTTATTTTCATTATTGATTTAGAATGCTGTTACTGTTACCAGAAAAAAAAGAGGATGAAATTAATAAATTGCTATCTATTTTTATTTGTGTGGAGAGAAATAAGCAGCTGCTGTGCTCTGATGGACAAGAGGTCTGCCCAATCATGTGGGTTGGATCTCTTATCCAATAAAGATGTAGAAAAAAAAATGATTGATGGTAAGAGGAGAGCTAAAGATTGAATTTATTTGTAGTGACCAAAAGAGGGAGAAAAAAAGGAGCAGCAATAAAACAACTACACTTTTAAGCAGGATTCTTTAAGACACTTTGACTTAAGATACTTCATTTAATTTAATTTGAATCCTGGCCCAGATTTGAAGCAGTATGGTCCAGATTTCAGCCATCTGGCGACGTTCTATCCAACTGAAATTCATATTTCATATAGACCTAATTCAGGCTGAGTTGCAAAATCTAGACAATGCTAAACAGTGTCCAGATTTTACAGTTCGAATAGAACCGTATAGTGCAGATGGTTTTGCCCCATTCGGTATGGGGCCACTCAGATTTTAGTGACTAACTCTGATAGACAATTAACATGTCTCCAATAAATAGTGACACGATAAGAAACATAAGCATTTGTGCTTTTATTATTTTAGCAATATTGGATTTTATCAGAAAAGTTTTAATATTACTCAATTACTTTTCTGTATAAATATGCAATTATTATTCAAGTGTATAAGCAATTTTTGACAGGTCAATGTCTTATTTTTTATATTTGATTTATTTAAATTACATTCAGTTTTATTCCTAATTTTAGTAACTACAAAACATGTTTAAAAGTTAGTCAAAGTACAATCAGATAAATAATATAATCGCTAGTTTTAGATTATGAAAGTTTCACAAAGCAGTTATTCAATTTTTAATGTTTGAATATATAAAACTATTGCATGTTTTACATTCATTCTTAATGGTGCTATCTTGACAAGGCAATTTGTAAAGTAATGAAGTGATTACATCAAGTATTTTCTGTTATATCCTCCTTACAAGTTAATTGTACATTAATTTAACTGCATTAAGATTGTTCTGCTTAACAAGTAGGTTATTAACAGCAGCACAGTCGTGAAAACACACTTTCTGCTATAATGTGAAATTGGAGAGAATCCAATCCAGCAAAGTATAATTAGGGCTTTTCATATTAATGTGAGTTGTGGAGAACATTAATTGCGTTAGCTGCAAAGTCTTAAACAGCGAACATGATTTGTTATTTTTAGGATTCAGCCAATCAATATTAAAATCTCCAAAAACCAACAGTTCACTTTTTGGTTTTGAGCTATGGTTTTAACTAAGGAGTTTGGTTATGTCAGAAAAAGAAAGCACTGGAGAGCTAGGTGAGCGGTAGATTCCAGCAACAGTGATTCGTTTGCAGGATCTCTGTGGCAAAACTAGCCACACGAACAGAATATAGATGTACTGTTCATAAAAACGAATAAACTGCTGAATGGAGGACCACACAAGGGAGTCGTGTGTCTCCAATTAACAACTGGCAACATCGAGGAACCAAAAAACCCTAATGGTTTAATGGGTGGTAGCCGTTCGTATGAACGAACACGTGGCGGTGGCCATCTTTGCTCACGAACGCCCAGCTGTGTTTGGTCGTCGAGTGCATGGAACTAAAATCAGCTACTCGACCTCGCGAACACTGCTGGACTTCCATGATGTTCGTACAGATGGACCCATTCGTCTAAATAGAGCGGCGTTCGCCTGATTGAAATCCACGAACTTCCTATACCCAACTAGCCAGTATATTCATGTGTATGTTCGATGGTTATTTTGTAGGAACTCCCAAAAGAAGACCGGTCAAAGCTTACAATTGCCTGGAACTATTTTGGGGCTTGAGCTTGGTGGCTGGACGGTCTATAACTTTATTCTATTCAAACGAACGGATCTGAGCGGTAATTCGCCAGATGGTGCGCTCAGATCCCAGCTATTCAATGAAGGGTCTTTCGTGGAGTTCAGACACATATTTTGCAAGTTATATATTTTTGATCTATATTGTATGATTTTCTGTATGGAGAGATAATATAATTTAAGGTGTACTCTTACGCAATTATCTCTCCAGTACAGAAAAGGATGATGGGAAATATTATTGCGCACAAAGTTTTCCACACAGTCCACCAGGGAAAAACCCCTGGAATGTAATTATGGAAACCCCTTGAATGGGATGTGTATAAAACCAGCTGTGGTGCAATAAAAGTTGAGTTAAATCCCAAACTGTGTGTCGTCCAGGTCTTGGGAAAAAGGGATTGGAATTACTACGCTACTTGTATTTTGTATGCTGACTACGTCTACCAGCGAAGATATCATGAGTTATACCTCTACTCCGCTACAATCTCGATTGTACCAGAAAGGAAATCAATGGTGGCAGGTGAGCTATAGTTTTGTAAAAGGGTGAAGTTTATGGACTTGACAACCCAAATAACAACGCATTGTATACAATTGCGGCTTCATATTCATGCTGTATTTTTCTCCACATTCAAATCTCTAAATTTAAACTTAAGTTGTGTTTGTTTCTGGAGTGTTCTATTAACCCCTTAACCCTGACAAAAACGGTCCTTAATGGTTGGTGTTGCTCCTAGTCTGGGGGGACTGCGTGACAGCCATGACAGTCCCCCATCTACAAATTAGGCCCCTGCGGGCCATGTGACTAATCTGAAAGAGCAGTCACATGGCCGCAATAGGCTTCCATAGTGCTGCCTGCAGGGGACTGCCTGAACTGACAGGCGGTCTCCTTGCATCTGTAAAATAAAATAAAAAATGTTTAGTAAACTAGAAAAAAAAACAATATATATTTATATGAGATATATATACATATATTATATCTATATTTCCTGGCCATATCCATTGCAGGCATAACAATGGGTAGCTCCTCCCTATCCCTAACCAGACAGGAACCTAATTAAAACAGAAGGTATAAGTAACCCATCCTACCCCTCCCACCCTCACTCTTTTTGTTTCTGTCCTATCCCTAGGACAGACTTAGTCATTCTAAGACTAGATAATTTTTCTTTTTGGCTTACCTGAGGGTTGTTACCTTCTGCCTCAAGGAAGTTCAGCCTCTATCCATTGGGCTTTTAATATAGCCACTGGAGTCACTTATTCCTAGGATTCTGTGTTTTATTTCTAGACATTTATGGCTTCTAATACAGCCACTGGAGTCACTTTTTCCTAGGCCTCTGTTATGCCTTTTAATATAGCAGCTAGAATAACTTTTTAGATAGCTCAGTGGGCTAATTCCTCATCAGAAGAATCTGTTCATCTTGGGACTCACAGGTTCAATTCCCAGCAGGGCTGACTCGGTCCTTAAAGGACCACTATAGTGCCAGGAAAACATACTCGTTTTCCTGGCACTATAGTGCCCTGAGGGTGCCCCCACCCTCAGGGTCCCCCTCCCGCCAGCTCTGGAAGGGGGAAAGGGGTTTAAACTTACTTTTTTCCAGCGCTGGGCGGGGAGCTCTCCTCCTCTTCTCCTCCCCTGCGGCTGAATGCGCACGCGCGGCAAGAGCTGCGCGCGCATTCAGCCGGTCACATAGGAATGCTTTCCTATGGACGCTGGCGTGCTCTCACTGTGAAAATCACAGTGAGAAGCACGCAAGCGCCTCTAGCGGCTGTCAATGAGACAGCCGCTAGAGGAAATAGGGGGAAGGCTTAATCCATTCATAAACATAGCAGTTTCTCTGAAACTGCTATGTTTATGAAAAAATGGGTTTACCCTAGCTGGACCAGGCACCCAGACCACTTCATTAAGCTGAAGTGGTCTGGGTGCCTAGAGTGGTCCTTTAAAGTAATTAAAATGTGTGCCATTAAATTGGGCAAAACATCCCCAGGTTACATTTGGGAACCAAAACATAAGTGAATGTCTCTTTCCTTGTTCAAGATTTTGCAATGATTGTTTCTTGTGCCTTTTAATTACATTATTATATGCCTCTATGTTTGGTTTTAGGCATTCACTAACTTTATTATCCTATTTCTATGTCTCTGTACTTGGTAAAAGGGTATTCGCTGTTCTGTTCCTCTATCTCAGCCATTCAACCTGTTTTATTATAAGTCCCTAAGTTTCCATTCTTACTTTTGGACCCGTTCAATTTTTTTCCTCTGCGTTTAATCCCTGTCAAAATGCAGGTACTAGTCTAATGGTCGCGCCATGCCGAAAATCTGATTCGCTCCTGCGTATTCTAAAATGTAAGTCCAGTTGCTGGGGTTGCAGGGTCATAATGGCTTCCCCTTTTAAGCACAATGTTTTCTTATAGGTTTTTTCCTATATTAAGTAATTAGATTTGTGTGCAGTTTTCATTTTAATTTGAATTCTGCTAATGGATAAAGCTCTTATTTGGGCAAATCCACTCTGGGAGAACAATAGTCCTTCAGTTTATGATTACTCTCAGTTTTTTGCAGCATTCAGGAGAGCTTTTGACCCTCCAGGCAGAAAAGCCGATGTTGCCAGAGCCCTTCTGAGATTAAAACAGGGAAACCATTCCCTCATGGGCTATGCATTGGAATTTCGTTCCCCGGCATCAGAGGTCTGTTGGAACAACCAGGCATTTGTGGATGTATTTCTTAATGGTCTATCCGATACTATTTTGGATGAGGTAGCCACTAGGGATTTACCAGAGAATTTAGAAGAACTTATTTAGGTCACATTGACAAAAGACTTAGACAGGCTTAATACCAGAGAAAGGCCCAGAAGACCAGCTATCAGATCAATTCCCAATTTTACCTCTGAGTCCATGACAGTCTCTATCCCAGAACCTATGCAATTATGCATGACAAAGTTAACTGAGAAGGGATTTCAACATAGGAGAGAGGGGTTGTGTATGTACTGTGTAAAAAGGGGACATCTTTGTTTAGCTTGTCCAGAAAGGCCAGAAAACTTCAGAGCCTAAGGCCCCATGGAGGACTGGCCTTGGGTGTACTTAATAGGTCCTCCATAAGAACTCATGAAAAAAGGCTTCTTCTATCTATCACCTTAAAGTGTGAGGGGACGGCTGTCCACGCTCATACCCTTATAGACTCTGAGACTGCTGAGAACTTTTTAGATAAGAGCTTTGCAGAGAGATTCGCTATTCCTCTCTGAGAAAAAACAACACCCTTGGCCATTGAAGCTATAGATGGTAGACCTCTTGAGGAGCCCTCCATTACTAAGGAATCTATTCCAATCCTTATGAAGGTTGGGGCTCTTCATAAGGAAATCGTTGTTTTACAGGTTATCTCTTCTCCTTCCTTCCATGTATTACTGGGGTATCCATGGTTATTTAAACATAATCCGCAGATTGATTGGGAATCAGGAGAGATCGTTAAGTGGAGTTCATCTTGTTCTGAGGGATGTATCAATGGAACTAAATCCTTGAATCTTATAAATCTGCCTATCACACCTCCATTGTCCACTGATGTACCTCAGGCATATCTAGACTTAAACAAAGTATTTGATAAAAACAAGGCTGATAAGCTACCCCCACACCGGTCATATGACTGTCCTATTGAATTGTTGCCAGGAACTATGCCACCTAGAGGCACTGTTTACCATCTCTCTCTCTCAAAGAAAATCAGGTTTTGGAAGAATATATTCAGGAAAATCTAGAAAAGGGATTTATAAGAAGATCCTTTTTTCCGTCTGGGGCTGGGTTCTTTTTTGTTTCTAAGAAGAAAGGTGACCTCAGGCCATGTATAGACTACAGAAGTTTGAATAAGATCACCATGCGTAATGTCTATCCCATTCCTTTGATCACGGACAGGTTATCATTATTTGACAGGTTAAAAGGTTCCAGGGTCTTCACTAAATTGGATTTATGAGGTGCTTATAATTTGGTGAGGATTAAAAAAGGACATGAATGGAAAACGACTTTTAATTCTAGGTTTGGACATTACGAATATACAGTCATGCCTTTCGGACTTTGTAATGCTTCTGCTGTTTTTCAAGAACTTATAAACGATGTATTAAAGGGAATATTTGCAGGAATTTGTTATTGTTTACCTCGGAGATATACTGATCTATTCCCCAGATGTTATTACCCATCACATACATGTGAGAAAAGTCTTACGTAAACTATTGAACAATGGTTTATATTGCAAATTAGAGAAATGTTTGTTTGATCAAATAAAAGTAAATTTTCTAGGTTATGTCATCTCCGAGTCGGGTTTCGAAATGGACCCTAAAAAACTTGATACTATCCGTAAATGGCCCTTACCCACAGGGTTGAAAGCCATTCAACGTTTCACTGGGTTTTCCAACTATTATAGGAGATTTATAAAGGGATTTTCCTCCATAATATCTCCTATTACCAATATGACAAGAAAGTGTAATTCCAATCAAGTATGAACTCAGGAAGCACTTTTGGCCTTTGATACCCTGAAGGCCGTATTTGCTTCAGCTCCTATTCTTGTCCATCCAGATCCTTCACTAGAGGTGACACGGGAGTAGGGGCCATTCTCTCCCAATGTTTGTCTCCTGATAAACCTCTAATGCTAGCAGAATGCTTGGTTGTATAGGGAGAGGTATTAGCAGTAGAAAGAGGGAAGAGCTCATGCCATCAGTACTAGAGACCGTATCTTCAGAAGGATATTGATACTTTAGAGAGAGTTCAGAGAAGGGCTACTAAACTGGTTCATGGATTGCAGGATAAAACTTACCAGGAAAGGTTAAAGGATCTTAACAGCTTGGAGGAAAGACAAGACATGGGATATGATAGAAACATTTAAATACATAAAGGGAATCAACACAGTTATGGAGGAGACTATATTTAAAAGAAGAAAATCTACCACAAATTAGAAGGGCAAAGGTTTAAAAATAATTTCAGGAAGTATTACTTTACTGAGAGGGTAGTGGATGCATGGGATAGCCTTCCAGCTGAAGTGGTAGAGGTTAACACAGTAAAGGAATTTAAATATGCGTGGGATATGCATAAGGCTATCCTAACTATAAGATATGGCCAGGGACTAATGAAAGTATTTAGAAAATTGGGACAGACTAGATGGGCCGAATGGTTCTTATCTGCCGTCACATTCTATGTTTGTATGTTTCTACATCCCTGTGGATTCTTTTCTAAAAAACTTTCCAAAGCAGAAAAGAATTATGAGATAGGAGATAAGGAACTCTTGGCTATCGTAATGGCCCTTAAAGATTGGTGTCATTTGCTAGAAGGTTCCTCTACTCCTATTACAATATTGACTGATCATAAAAATCTATCCTACATGAGTGAAGCCAAGAGACTAACCGCTAGACAGGCTAGATGGTCCTTATTATTCTCTCATTTTAACATTGTACTTACCTATAGACCCAGAACCAACAACACTAAAGCAG